ATAAATAGTAAAAATGCAAATCCAGTTCTATTTGAAATGAGAATGCATTTTCCACCATAACTTATTGTTTCTCTTATATTTTCCAATTATTACAAATTTTGGTTCTCCAATGACTAAGGTTTTTTTTTTTGTTTTTGTTTTTTTTAGACAGAGAGAAGAGAGAGAGAGAATTTTTTAATATTTATTTTTCAGTTTTCGGTGGACACAACATCTTTATTTGCTGAGGATCGAACCCAGTGTCCCGCGCATGCCAGGCGAGCGCGTTACCACTTGAGCCACATCCCCAGCCCAAAACCAGGAGTTTTTGAGACCACTGACTCATGTGGAACATTAAGGAGACAAAACTTATCAAGGTAACAGATTAGATTCTTACCTTTTAATTATTGAAATTTTACCTACAACTGAAAATTCAAGATAGGGCATGTTAACCCGATAATGATTTCATAATTGAACTTAATTATTTCATTCTGATGAGAAATGTGAGTTAGCGTCCCATGGGACCTCCACCCACTGCCATCTTTCCTTTCCATCCCATTTATCTTAGGAAAACTCCAAAGTTCTCCCATAACACTAAGAACTGACAGAAACAATCCATGAAAACTTAGGTGCTCTTTATGTACAAGCCTCTCAGCAGGGTGTTTGGCAAACCAATGGGTGACCCTGGGCTTCTCAAAGGAACTGGGCAAACTGGCAATCCCAGACACCATGATGGTATCCTGTGAACACCAAGGTAGACCCACTCCAGACTAACCTAACCTACCTCCAACCCTTCTGCTGTAGCCACAGTAATCTCTGTAGTCTTTGCCACAGGCAGTCTTTACATCTGAGCATTTCCTTCCCTTGTTTGCTTTACCCTTTTTAAAGAGGTTAATATTAGCAGTTAAATAAATAAGAAAAATGCATCCAAATACCAAAGTATACATGGGCAAGAGACTTTTCTTTCTCAAAGAAAAAAATAAAAATTTGCTTAAGAGCATGCTAAAAAGTAATCTGATTTCTTAGTAACCAGTTTTCTTAGTTGGTGAAAAGTAGATGTTCTTACACATCAAGCTTGAAGGAAAAAACTGCATTACAGATATACATACAATTTAGGAATAAGGATGTACATCAGTTAAAACAGAAAATACTGGAAATAACATAAAGGCTCCAAAATAAAAGAAAGCCTAAATAAATTAATAAATTCATTTATAAGATGAATTTATTTTGTGGTGACTATTACATTAAAAATATGAAACAGTGATGAAGTAATATTTATTTTCAAATACAACATTCTATGACATGATTCCAGTTTTTTAAACAATGGTGTAATCATGTACAGGATGAACAGGTGTTAAAGTACTCTGTATTGGCAATAGCAGTTCTTTAGACATTAGGATAATTCTAGGTACTTGGCACATACTAAGCACTATGTACTTTACATACACAGCACTCTATTTAGGCTTAAAGCCATCCTAGAAGGTGGATCTTTATTCTGGTTGTATAGCAGAGGAATAATAACTGAGGCTAAGGGCAAGTGAGTAACCCAAGATCACAGCTAATAAATAGAGGAGCCAGAACATAAGGTAAGGTCAAGTTGGGTTCATCATGTCCATTTCTGCCCACAGGACATTTATTTTCTATTTAATACATTGTTCTCCATTCTAGGGGATCTAAAATAAGCAAATATTCTTTTATAATTTAGAAACGAATCAATACTATATATGTTGTATTAAAAGCATGCATATTCATAATGTAACAGTTTAAAAAACGATTCCCTTCAAACATCTGTGACCATGGGCATGAACTTCATGGTCTCACACTAGTGTAACTGGTAAAGAACATGAGCATTCTTTTAAAAACTGTAAATTTTACCTTGGGAAACTTTTGTGAGCCATGTCAATTCCACAAAGTTTATTCATTTAAGAAGTGTTTGGCCTTTTGTTAAATGTTGTGCCATATACAATAGCAGGAATAAATGAATTTTTTGGAAATTAGAAAAATATCTTTGGGAGATAGTGGAAATGGAGAAAGAGAGGAAAAGTGGCAATATCTATCTAACATCAAAAGTCCCATTGTCTGTGTTTTAAGTTTTCCCTAAAAACTTATATGTCTGAGAATCCAAGACACCCCCCAGTAATGTCATATAATTTTAAACATCCACAATGAATTTTCACTTATACTCTCAATATAGAAATCAGATGAAACAAAATGCTTTCAGCATCACAAAGCATTATTAGTGCCATCCACTGGGTACAGAGTGGTGCTTGCCTTTCCTCTTCTGGATAATGCAATATCTTTGTTGTTAAGTAGGCAGATTTGGATTACCAGGACTCTTAGCAGAAATGCAGCTGAATTGATGCCCATCCCTCTTAGCTCTACCCCACAGTCCATGACCACCCTCTGCTTTTCCAGAAAAGTCCCTGTACTTTAGTGAATGGATTTATAATATAAAGTTCATCATCTTTATAGCAATAGATTAATGCATAAATTCTTTCTCACTTTTAGTCTGTGAGTCACTCAGGCATTTTTATCAATTAAGATGTAGATTATTCACTTTTACTTGGCTATTATAATAAGGTAGGCGGATAAGAATACATCTCTCCCTTTTTATTCAAAGCTTCTGATCTGTAAAGGAAGGTTATTTATTTATTTATTTATTTATCTAGCAAAGAAGTCCACAGGAATAATGATGGACTTAGAAATTCAACATTACGAGTTCAACTATGCTTGGACCCCAGGAGATCATCCACAAAACCAAAGAAAAGCTATCTGGTAAGAAAAAGCTGTTTGCCTTAAAACTGCACAGGGACTTCAAAGTAGCTCATTGCTAATTCTCTTCCTTGGAAACTAAGCACCAAAGAGTAGTTGAGGAACCAGAGAGGAAAGAGTGGATGTCGGCAAAATGGACACCCTATGCTGTTCCCTGTAAATTGGGTAGTTTTATTAATCTTTTAGACTACAATTTCAGTTGGAAAGATGAGTGTCCCCCGCTGAGATCAGGTGTCATTGCTATGGAGATTCATCTTATTTAATAAATTATGCTACTTGATCTTTTAATAATAAACACTGGTTTTCTCATTTAAAAAAACTGTAAATAAACTACTCTTCCATGGTTGCCCTAAATATAGTTTTGAAGAATATAAATATAGCAAATAAATCTATACTCCTATAAATGTGCTAATTACTATTTTAGTTCATGCTTAGTGAAGAAATAGCTTAATAACAGTAAGTTAACTGGAGAAGGGCAAAATTCTCATTCATTTGAATTAATGAGTACAAATTACCTTGGATCAGTTATTAGTGCTATAACACACATTTAGTGGACAACCACTACTATTACTACAGAAGACTTCAGAAACAATGTACTTGAAGTGTTTCACAGTGTGCAACATTATTTAATACATATGGCGTCTAGCACCTATGAATACAGGAGAAAAAAAAATACCACTGTCCATCAGAGGAGTGAAAAGTATTTCTCACTTCGCCAATTAAATCATTTTCCGAGGGGTTCATCACCCGGAAAACCAGTCTGTGTGAACGCCGGAAATGCAGATGGCATTCAGTCTCAGAAGTGCTTTTCTAGGTGGGAACCAAACTAAGATTTCTCATTTTGTGTGACAGCCATCCCACGAGGAAAAGAATCTCACTGTAAAACAATTTTCAAAAAAAAAAAAGGGGGGGGAAGAAACAACTAGGAAGCTCGCAAAGTTCTCCAGAGGAGACTCTGAAGAGAGCATTTCTTGGAGGGTCGGCGGGAGAAGGGGTGGTTCGGGACTCCGCCTGGAGCCAGGGTCCGTGTTCCCAGGGACCAGGATCCCCAGGTGAGCCGGCGTCCCGGGCTCCCGCTGGAGGCGGAGGGCGCAGGGCGGGTCCCCGCGCGGCCCGAGGGCGTCCTTCTGACCAGGCGACCCCTGCTCGGCTTCCGGGAGCCCAGGGACTCCCGGGGCTGGCGCGGGCTGCCCCGGACGGACGCGCGGCCAGCAGCCTCCGGCTCCCGAGGAGCATCTCCCCACCCGCGGCTCCGAGGCCAGCGCTGCCCCTCCACCATCCTCGAGTCCTCCGACATTTTCCACGGAGACAGGGAGGTAGGGAGAAGAGGAGAAAACGGCGGAGTGTCTGCACCCAGCCTCTGCCGCAGCCCAGGAAGAGGGAGAGGAGGAGGGAGACTGGCGAGGAGGAAGCTCTCAAACTGTGATTCCATCGATAATAAAAAGAATCATCATCACCCACGGCCAGGGAGTCTCGGATGCACACACCCGGCCGCGGCCAGGGCTTCGGTGGGCGTTCCTCGTCCTCGCCCCCTCGGTGGCCGCGAGCCCTACCCCACGCCGTGCACACCAGAACTCCCTTCCCCTTGACTGAGGGGCGGGGAAGGAACAAAAGAGACCCTCACCCCTACACACACACACACACACACACACTCACTCACACACCCAGATATTTTACCATTGCTCTAGGTACTGATTTTTGCAACGCCTTCTGCTTACACCTTCCCCACCTGAATAGCGCATTTCCCAAAGGTACAAAGATAAGGGAGAAAAAATACCACCCGAGGTGATCGGGAGATTAGACAATTTCACATTCGATTCTCTTAACAACCAACCCTCCCCCCCTCAAAAAAAAAAAAAAATCCCTGCGGGACCGCGAGCCCCGCGGGGTCTCCCGCCATCCCGGCCCTCTCTGCCGGTTCTGCGAGGGTGCCCCGGGAGCGCGGAGACCCACCAAGGCTTCGCTGAGCGGCAGGACACTCGCCCGGTCCCTCCGCAGAGCTGGAGGGCTGCGAGCGGACCGAGCCCAGGCAGCGACGCGGGATTCAACTTCCCAAAGCAGCGGCGCCGCTGGCAGCGCCGAGACCCCACCGCCCAGCCACCTCCCGAGCCCGGGTATTAGCAGTCGCACTCTCCGCCCCCTCTTTCCTTCACCTCCCCCCCACCTTGAAAAAAAAACCCATCCATCGGTGCAAAGCAGACATTTTGATGTCATTTACTTAGCACCGCTCGGCTTCAGTGGCAGCATCTTACCCGATCGCCTGGAGGTGTAGGCAGCGCACCAATGGTCCGAGGGCGCGAGGCTGGGCTGCCCGGTCCTCTTAGCAGAGCCGGTTTGCTGCCATCCGCCCAACTTCAGCACCCAGCGGGCGAGGAGAGAGGGAGAGAGGCGAGGATGGAGGGGAGGGGGGAGGGGGAGGAGGCGAGGGTGGGCGGGGAGGCAGCGAGAGCCGCTCGGCAGCGCGCATGCGTTCCGCGGGCGGGCGCAGCCCCTCGCCCCGCGCGGCCGGAGGTGCCGCTTCTTCCCCGGGCGCGCGGCCGCGTGAGTCACCGCCCCGCCCCTTGCTGGCGCCCGCGCCTGGCCGGGTCCAGCGCGCCCGCTGGAGGACCCAGTTCACGGTGCAGAACCGCTCGGCCAGCGGTCTCGCTTTGGCCACTCAAGTCCCAGCTTGGTGGAAGCCCTGGAGACCTGAGAGCCTTCCTTGAGGAGAGGAACTCTTGGACCGAGGCTCGTTCAGCTTCACGTTCACCCGCAGCCCACGCTCGGTTCTCCTGGTCTTCTGGTTTGCAACCAGAAGCTTGTGTGGAAGGCGCAACGCAGCGCTGCTACTGAGGGCTCCCAGCGGAAGCACTCTTGAGTGGGGGTTCAAGAAAGTGTAAAGTTAAATAAGTTTTGCTTACCAAAAGATTCCACTTAATGAAGACTGCTTGCTTTATTGACTTTACCCAGAAATCTGACCCTTTCCCCTAAGTATTCTATCGGGTGCTATCTGGCCTAAGGCATAGGTGCTGTCTCGGGCATCTGGACCACTGGAACTGGAGTTTTGAGAGAGAGGCTGATGAGAAGGCAGGAGTCGTGGATCATTAAGTGATGCGATGATGCTTGGGGCCTAGAGCATCTTCACACGCTTGGTGGCTACTCAGGTCCACTAATTGTTCTGTCCCCCAGTGTGGTGTTGAAGGAGCTTCAGATACTTACTACACGGTGAGCACTAGATTGCATCTCTGATGATTAGATTGAAGTGTTTGTGAGGGGGAGGTGGGGAAGAGGATTTCTTTCTCTTCAGATACCACATATGTGGGAAGAAGAGTGACTTCCTGCAGGAATGATTAGCTCTTTCCTTATACCTAATTACAACTGATTACTTGTAAATATACATGATTTCCGTTGCTTGTGTGTTCACGTATGCAAATACTGTTATCATCATTTCAGCGTGTTGATCACCCTTCCCTCTCCAGTTGAATTTAATATGTCTCAGGGCTTGCTCCAGGGCCTCTTTCCTGTAGCTATCTCCCTGACTTTAATGTATTAGTGCTCTTAACGTGCATTTCCTGGTGCAGTTCTGCAAACTCTTCTTTACTGGTTTGTAGTGGGAGATAAGTACAGAAATTGAGAAGATTTAGAAACGTTTATAGCTATTTGACACTACCATAACATCCAAGCACATTAGTCAGTTGTACTTTGCATGTTTTATTTTTAAGGTAATTCGTTTTTGTTGGAGTTTACATAAGTATTTGTCTTAGTCCATTCAAACTGCTATAACAAAATACCGTAGATGGGGTGATTTATAAATAACAGAAACTTATTTTTCACAGTACTAAAGAGTGGGAAGTCTTCAGTCCAGATGTAGGCAGTTACTATCTGTGGAGGGCCAAATTTCTGGCTCTACATATTGCTCTTCCCGTTTGTTCTCACATGGTGAAAGGAAGCAATGGGATTCAAGACTGTCCCTTATAAAGGCACTAGTCCCATTGGTAAGGGCTCCACCTTTTTGACCTAATCACCTTCCAAGGACCCACCTCTTACTACCATTACTTTGGAAGTTAGGATATTAGTACATGAATTTTGGGAGCAGGATATCAACCTATGAATTTGGGGAATGAGGACAAAAACATTCAGCTCATTGTACTATTGGTCCATGATGGATAAAAAAAAATAATGTCCTTCTCCAAGAACAATTTGAGCAGCAGTGAACCCTATATAACTCTCAGATTTATATTTTCATTCTTAGCCTCTAACAGAATTCTTTTCAGTCCTTTACTTGAAGAAGAATTAGAGTAGTAATACTTATTGAACAATTACTTCCTGCTTGAGATTGACCTGATTTTTTTCATGGTTCTTATTCTCTGTTCACAAGAATCCTACCAGGTAGATACTATTATTATCATGTTTAACAGGCATCTCAGAAGCATAACTCCGGATATCCACCCCCTCCAAACCTGTTCCTTTTCAAATTGTTCTACCCAGTTACTCAATCCAAAAATGTAGAAGTCATCCTTATTTTCTCTCTTTTCTTTCATCCTCACATCCAACTAATTAGCAAATTATGTTTTCTCCAACTCCAAAACATACCTCACTTTGTACACTTCGCTTCCTTTCCATTGGTACAACCTGGATCCAAACCACTATCGTCTCTCACCTGAACAATTCAAAAGTCTCCTACTTTGCCTCCTTGTTTCTGTCCCCCATAAACCCTGAAATATATACTCCAAACAACAGCTGAATGATCTAAAAACATAACCAGGTCTAGTCATGTGTTTGCTTCAAACTCTCCAGTGAGTTTGCCTTGCACTTTAAATACAACACATAATGCTTACTGGAGACTAAAATATTCCACATAAAACTGTTCCAGCCTCATTTGCTTCTACCATGCTCCCGTAGACTGTAACTATGACACATCAGCCTGCTTCTTTCACTCTCTTGATTGAATCTAGTTCATAATACGTGCATTTCTTTTTTCCTGGTATTCCATGCTGTCAAAATTTTAAAAGCAGGTTCTTTAATATCATGCAGATATCTGCTCATATATCACCAACTCATAAAAGCATAATATGACCCACTCCATCAATCTATACCATCAAGGCAAAGAGTTCTAGTCTGTTAGACTGCCTTGTTTTATTTTCTTTAAAACACTTTTCGCTCTCTGAATATATTTATTTCTTGTGTCCTCATCCCCCACTCGAACAAAGTATCTTAAGAATTTTGCCCTTACTTTTCACTGTTTCACCTGTAGGACCCGGAACATAATTTGGCACATAGCCATACTTGGTAAATATTTAGTGAATGAATGAATGAATTACAAACTAAAAATGGTGTTCTTTATCTTATGCTGATGGCTTCTCTTCTTGGATCCTAATTGCTACCTGTCAGAATCTATTGTTTTCCAAAAGTGTACAGATAGACTACATTGTTTCCTCTGCCCAAACTATCAAAGATGACTTCATGCAGTGGCACACAATCAAACAAGATACCAAGCATACAGGATAAAAAGGTATTCTTCCCTCCATGATCTTCCCTAAAGCACTTGGCTCTTTGTGCAACATTTTACAGATATGATAATTTGACTAATCTACCACTCATTTGCCTGCAAAAGACTTGGAGACTTTCATGGTTGTAGTTTTTTTTGGTAATCCCTTATGCATTAGCCATAATCTTCAGTGTTAATCTTCTAGGATGTTACCTACAGTCTGAAAGATGAATAGATGGGCGTTATTGTTTAATTGTGGTGTCCTCCAACAGTACATGTATGAGTCAATGCAAGAAGATTTGGATGAGAAACGGTTGGGTTATAGCCTTAACCTAACCAGTAAATTAATCTCTGATGGGATTAACTGAGTAGCAACTGGAGACAAGTGAGATGTGGCTGGAGGAAGTGGTTCACTGCAGGCATGGCTATTGGGTATATATTTTGTATCTGAAGAGTAGATTCTCTGTCTCTGTGCTTTCTGATCACCATGTGAGCTGCTTCCTTCTGCCACACTCTTCTGCTGTGATGTCCTACTTCACCTTGAGCCTGGAGGAATGGGGCCAGCTGTCCATGGACTAAAACCTCTGAAATGTAAGCCCCTAAATAAACTTTTCCTTCTCTACAATTGTTCTGGTTCCTGTCCTTTAGTCACAGCAGTAAAATAGTTGACTAAAAAACTGGGTGTAGCCAACCACGGCCTTAATGACATTGTAGAGTTGATCATTTGTTCTCTCTATGTATAGCTAGATCTTAGGCAATATCTCCAACAAACTCGACATCATTATGACTCCATTGATATTTCAAGCCAATATTTATTAATGTCAAATATATGTCTGTCAGTATACTTTCTAGCTTTATTGAAAAAATATAAATGTTATATAAAATTATTATTATGTGTGACTCAGAAATGAATTTCAGTTCTGTACTCTTTGTATAGAATTAGGAACTCACTAGATTTATCATTATCAAATAGCCATGTGGTGACCTTGAAAAGCAGCTTTCAGTCACATGCATTCCCTGGGTCATAATGTGTTTTTCAAGTAGAGAGAATCCAAGTACAGTAGCGGTTTGGGTATAATGCCTTCATAGTAAGGCAGACAGGAGACTTACTGACAAAATATTAGCAGAAAGAGACATTAGAAAAGAACAGAACATCAAAATACTTATAAATATATTTCCTTATAACTGAGGTATTTGTCATTAGGAAGCTGGAATCTATCTCAATGAGTTTAGTACCCTGCAAAGGTTATTTCAGGAAGAAAGTATATAGTACTGAATTTTGTTCTCTTTCAGCACATTCTCATTCATTTAGAAGCAACCATTTACCCTTGAAAAGGAGAGGGAAAACAAAGAAGTTGGTTGAACTGACTGCACCAGCCAGGTAAATGTCTGCAGTCTGGAGTGTGGATGGCTGGATAGAATGTAGCTGCTTATGCACACTTTTTCTATACTTTCAGTAAATGGGGCTCATCATGCTTCTTCAACTGGTTTTAATCAAACCTTTGAGACAGGCTTTTCTCAGGGAACCTATTTAGATGGAAAATACTTGTGTTTCTTCCTCAATATATGAAGAAAATGAGAGAAATGAAAGAAAGAAAAGGTTGTCTGCCCCCCAAATATATAAAATTGAATACACAGCTTCACATTTTATATGAACCATATTTTTTATAACTCACAAATATTCCCTTGTTTAACTTAATAGCATGAACTTGAAATGCTTGATGTTAACTTTCAGAGTAGCATTTATGAATTTACATTTCCAGGTAATTCGATGAGTCCATGGAAGTAGATATAAACACATCATGTGATTTTATCAGTTTTGTCCAATTTTGCTTATCATAAACTCCCACAGTAGCTCAGAAATGCAGAGTTGTTTTTGAATCATCCCAACTAGTTTAGAAAATTCTCATTAGATGAATCTGTCGTATTCACATTCTATTTGGTCCAACAGATCTACCATGTAATGTTGGACAACAATCCTCCACTCTTCCTTAGAAAACCAGCACAATTTTTGCCTTACCAAGAGAACATGATGGTATTTAATTATTACAGTCAGATTCTTGATGGAACAAAATTCCAGAAGTTAATGTTCAATGTTATATTATCTTGAGATTTGTGGAAGTTCCTCTTTGCTAGGTTGTAGAACAGGTTTCTGATTTATCAGACCTCCTTCCAGGGCATGATGAAAGCAAAGATAGAGACAGTGGATGATTTTGCAAGTTTCTGGTATTATTACTATATTTTGGTTCATGGAAAAGCAAATTCAGAGATATGTAAAGTTAATGGAAATCTTGATTGTGTGTCTGTAGAGAGGAACAGTTTGCTTGAGATGTTCAGTATCTAGAAGGCCCCAGATGATTAATTTTCAAGTTTCATATTGAAGTAAACTGAAATTGTAAATCAGAAGATGTGTGCTCCCATGGTAAAAGTTTTGACAAGGACTCCCTGGTTATTGATTTCCTGTGGACTAGTATCACAGTATGATATATGTTGAAGACATATATTAAAATACTTTACATAGCCTAGCCTACATTTTAAATATTAGAATTTAATATGTAACATGTATTGATTGAGTGCTCAAGTTCCATCCACTCATTTATTCACTCACCCATTCACTTAAAAAGTTCTCAGAAAACATTTATATTGACATTTGGGGAAATAAAAATATAATGGAAAACATAATTCCTAACCTTAAATATTTATGATTTATATACTTTATGACTTATATACTTTACAT